ATTTTTTTTTTTTTTTATTTACATGAAATCTCACGCTTCTAATATATTATACATATCTGCTCACGAAGTAAGAATCTCTCAAAATCTGAATCCAACTTGTGCCACAGTATCCTTCAAGTATAGATGGGTATATCAAGTATTTAATACCATACTCAATGGTATACTTCAAGTATTTAAGTACCCTTTCAAATCTTTGCAGTGCTTATGACAAGAATTGCTCGTATATCTACTCAATTTATTCATCGGACATGCTAAATCTGGTCGTGTACAATTTGTTAAGTACATCAGACTCCCTATTATCTATGAGTATTCTAACTGAGCTGCTGGTTGACCTTTTTTGGGCTACCAGATGACAAAGGACCATTTAAATTTATTAATAACTTTCTATATATAGCGAGATTGTAACAAGATAATTAGATATTTTGTTTTGATAATCTTTATTCCAAAAATTACATCAGTTATACAAAGATCTTTCATGTCGAAATTTATTTTCAACATTATTTTCGTATCCATTGTTACTTTATGGCTACTCCTCACGATCAACATATCTTCTACATATGGACTTACAACTACAAATGTATTTTGCAATACTCTTAACATAAACACATTTATCACATTCACTGATTTTGAAACCATTTGACAACATCACGTCATCGAAATTCAAATACCATTGTTTCAGAGCTTGCTTTAGTCCGTGCAAGGATTTGATCAAATTCACCTTATTTATCTTGTCCAAGTACTACAAAACTTTCGGTTTGTTCCATGTAAATTTCTTCTTCAAATTTCCATTCTAAAATACCTTTTTAACATTTGCTTGGTGAATCCCAATATTGTGCAAAGCAACAATCAAGATAAGCACTCGTATTGATCTATACACATAACTGGTGAATGGTAAAAATTCATACCTTTATTTATACTTATGAATTGTTCCATCAACTTTATATTTTTTTTTTTTTAGGATTCACTTGCACCATAAAAACTTACAACCTATAGGGAGATCAACCAACTACCAAGTATGATTTTTATATAAAGAAATTTTGCTATCTATAACATTTTCTAGAGTGTTTGATATGGGTTGGGCAGAGCTTCCTTAATGGAACTCGGTTTATCATCTAATATATACATAATAAAATCATGTCCAAATGTTTTTGTTGTTTTACCATTTTACCACGTCTTAATTCTTTATTTTTTATTCAATATCATCTGGTACAGAACAACTAATAGTTTCATATGTCCTTTTATTAAAACTAGATTCTGCATTTTCCTTAAGAAGAAAAATATTTTCAAAGAATATAGCATTCGTTGACTCAACTGTTGTACTAACATTACCTCCGGATTTTTTTTATGAACCGAAAATCTATTTCAAAGAATATAGCATTCTTTGACTCAATTGTTATACCAACAGATACCTCTGGATTTTTTTTATGAACTGAAAATCTGTACGCCATACTATTGTACACATATCCAACAACAATACAATTGATTGTCTTAGGTTTAATTCTCATTTGTTTGGGTTCAGAAACTGAAACCTTAACCAAACACCCCCACACTTTTAGGTATTTATAAGACAACTTACGTTTTTGTCACATTTCGTAAAGAGTCTCATTTTTCCTTTAAGCGATATTTTATTACGAAGATGATTTGTTGTTAAAACAGCTATCCCCCATATTTTTTTTGTGGTAATCCCAAATTTATCAACATGGCATTTATCATTTCTTTTAATGTTTGGTTCTTGTATTCAACAACACCGTTCAATTGTGGAGAATAGTGTGTCGTCGTCTGATGAGTTATGCCATATTCATAACATATTTGTTAAAAATGAGCTACATACTCCTCACTTCTATCACTTTGTATTATTTTAATTCTTTTGCTGAGTTGATCTTCAACTTCGATCTTAAAATCTTTAAACATCTCTATAGTCTCTTCTTTGCTTCTTAACTGGTATAAGTAACAAAACCTTGTGCAATCATCGATAAAAGTTATAGAATACTTTTTAACCATTTTTGTTTGTACAATTTTTAAATCACATACATTAGTATAGATTAAATCCAAAGGTTTTCATCCATTTTGGCTTGAACAAAAATTTCACATTTTTTATGTGACTCAATTTTTAAGAATTAATTCTAAATTCATCGACCGTTTAATTTTATCTAGACTTAAATTTTTGAATCCAATATACAATAAATCACATTGATATAAACAAAAATGGGCTTTCTATTATCATTGGAAACAGTTACACGGCTCATAGACATTACATTCATTTTGAACAATCCTTTGTCGTGATAGTGATCCAGAGACAAAATTCTTACGGATGACCTAGACATGCACAATGTTGTAGCAAAATATATTTTTACCGAGCACCGAATCGAAAGATTCGTTTTCCGGGTCGATCTCTCAAGGAAGGTTAGCCGGATATAATTGTTCGATTATTCAATCACAAAAGAAGATAAAAAAAAAAAAAATCCTAAACACTCTATTTTCAATATTTGGGGTTTCAATTATCAACTACCAACTTTAAATTAAATTAAGCACGAAATGAACAGTACGAATTTACTGAGAATTTAGAGAGCTAGGGAATCGGGGATAATTGTTTTCGGTTCTAACACAATCATCGGCATTCAATTGCTCGGTTAGAGGAAGTGAATCATCTTTCGTTTAGAGGTTCACTCTCAATAACTCTTCGTAACAAGAGAGTGAACGTTAACGATTAACTATCAATTCCAACAACTCATAGATTATACGCTTCCGAACAAATCTATTCTAAACGAGCCTAATTCTACCAACGTCTCCCCTCTCGGTTCTACACGTTGATTATCTAGGCTAGAAAGGTGATCAATCTCCTAACCCTATGGTTCACACAACTCGAATAGACATGAACAAT